CCTTAATGAGCAGGTGCGTACTGGTGACAGCTGCAGATATCTAATATTTTGATCCCAGAATGCGTGTCCTGAAGATGCTGCCTTAAAGAAAATTATAGTACTGCATACCATACAGTCTTCTTCTGCAAAGTGAGTGTCAAAACTAGATTGCTCTAAGGTGCGCCTATGTAGAGAAACATTTGACAGATACATTTTCAATGGTAGAGATGCACGATTGACCTCTCTAGTATCAGGCAGATTATATCCTTTTTAGCTCTAACCTGTAGATAGTCAGGAAATACACAGTATAAATTGTCCACAATATCTATGGCTAACAGATGTCTACTTAGATAGCTGATGGCTGGACGGGTACATGTGATCATACTTCTACTGCAGTCTACCAGAAGTTCAGCCAACAGTTTGATTTGCCACATTGGGCTATCCCTGTTTACCTGTGTATGAACTAGGGTCATATGGCTTACTTGTAATTGTATATTGGTAGCTTAAGATAAATAATAACGTACACAATGTATTGAAATTTATCAGAAATTAGTGAATGATGCTTTCCATGAACATTTCCTATGTAAGCATAAATTAACCATTGTACATCCATACATTCATGTAGGGTGTTGGCTTACTGTCATGCTCAGTCCCCATTTACCCCAGATGCATTGTCATGTGCCTACTCCAGAGAAGGCAAAATGTATAGACATGGGAAAGTCTATTGTTTTAATTAACACCTACTGTATTTCCAGCAACTCATAGAGGTGCGTTCAGTTGGATGGTTTGTTCCCAGTCCAATTGGTTGCATGGGAAACTGCACGTAACACCAATTAGTTGCTATTATCATTATTAATATACGGGATTTATATGGCGCCAACAGTTTTCGCATCGCTTTACAATATAAGGAAGACAATACAATCGCAATACAATTCAAGACAAGATGGTAAGGAGGGCTCTGCCCGTGAGGGCTTACAATCTAAAAGGGAGGGGCAAGAGGAAATATTATTTGTGTAAGTCCTAAATTATTTTAATAAGAACTCTTGTAGCAAAGGTTTGCTTTAAAGAGACCACTTGCCCATTGAGAGCAAAGTTACAGTGTCTTTGCAAAGGGCCCCCCTCCAAACCATTGATACTCACCAGCGCTCACCCACAACTCCTTCACACGAGTCTAGCAGACAATTGACAGGCCAAAGATTCTACAACTAAGCCTGTGATTGGGTAAAAAGCATCACAGGGGCAGACTTTGGGCCGGACACCAGTGATGTGGTACAAACTTCAATAAACTATCCCAGTGGTGTGTGGCCAGCTTTTATTCTGTTTGTGTGGGGTCATATTGGAGTTAGGTAGTGATCCCAGTGGGAAGCGCCCAGCTAAAAATTTTTCTGAGTTTAGGAGGAGTGGTGCTTCTTTTGCGTGTTCTCCTTGCAGGCCAAAGCCTCTGTCACATGACAAAGGATGTTATATCACTACTCGCCCACCCTCCCTCCCCCCTTTCCACAAGAATTCAATACCACTTGGCACTAGGAATTTTTGTGCCAAATGAGAAGAAGGTTGGCAAAGTATAAAGTATCAGTGGGCCAGGTGATAGTGTCTATTTAAGACAGGTGTGACTCCTTTCAGCATGTGCAACATTCCCAGTAATATTATCTAATTGAATAATCTTCACAGCAAGAGGATGGCATCCTGCAAACATTGAATTACTTGTAAAATTGAGGGGGCTTTCCAGTTGTAAAAATTAATTCAGTATTGAATGTTTTGTTCATATATTGGCAATGAAGCTCCTTAATGAGCAGGTGCGTACTGGTGACAGCTGCAGATATCTAATATTTTGATCCCAGAATGCGTGTCCTGAAGATGCTGCCTTAAAGAAAATTATAGTACTGCATACCATACAGTCTTCTTCTGCAAAGTGAGTGTCAAAACTAGAATGCTCTAAGGTGCGCCTATGTAGAGAAACATTTGACAGATACATTTTCAATGGTAGAGATGCACGATTGACCTCTCTAGTATCAGGCAGATTATATCCTTTTTAGCTCTAACCTGTAGATAGTCAGGAAATACACAGTATAAATTGTCCACAATATCTATGGCTAACAGATGTCTACTTAGATAGCTGATGGCTGGACGGGTACATGTGATCATACTTCTACTGCAGTCTACCAGAAGTTCAGCCAACAGTTTGATTTGCCACATTGGGCTATCCCTGTTTACCTGTGTATGAACTAGGGTCATATGGCTTACTTGTAATTGTATATTGGTAGCTTAAGATAAATAATAACGTACACAATGTATTGAAATTTATCAGAAATTAGTGAATGATGCTTTCCATGAACATTTCCTATGTAAGCATAAATTAACCATTGTACATCCATACATTCATGTAGGGTGTTGGCTTACTGTCATGCTCAGTCCCCATTTACCCCAGATGCATTGTCATGTGCCTACTCCAGAGAAGGCAAAATGTATAGACATGGGAAAGTCTATTGTTTTAATTAACACCTACTGTATTTCCAGCAACTCATAGAGGTGCGTTCAGTTGGATGGTTTGTTCCCAGTCCAATTGGTTGCATGGGAAACTGCACGTAACACCAATTAGTTGCTATTATCATTATTAATATACGGGATTTATATGGCGCCAACAGTTTTCGCATCGCTTTACAATATAAGGAAGACAATACAATCGCAATACAATTCAAGACAAGATGGTAAGGAGGGCTCTGCCCGTGAGGGCTTACAATCTAAAAGGGAGGGGCAAGTGATACATTAGGAGGTAGCTGTGTGGGGATGAATTGTTTGAGAATGTGATGTGATGTTGTTACCTGCAGTTTCGCATCCAAATAACTGAACAATCTAAAATTTTATGGCGACTCATGCTAATAGATGCATTTTCAGTATTAGTAGATGGCCATTATAAAATAATTTTGTATAAATGATATACTATAAAGAAAATTGTGACAGGTAGCCATGGTTACTAGGTTGATTCTGTTAGCAACTCTACTTGATTGCTCTTCTAAGAGGCAATTTTCATTCTTGGGTACAAATAATAATTTGTCTTGAAGAGAGCAAGGAAGGATTAGAGTAGTGTTAGGTGTGTAAGAATGTCTGTTCCACTATTGACTTTCAAAACCACATTTTTAGTAGAGTTTGGGAAGGTCTGCAATTTTCAACAATGTTTTTATTGCTAAACAAGTCTTCACTGACCTATGTAGCTGCTCGCACTGCAGAGTAATTTATCCTCATAGTTCACAACAGAAAATATGTTTGGTTATTATTTTTTGCTTATTCTGCTCCCCACTCCCAGCACTGGGTTGGAGTCCTTTCAGCTTTCTCATCTCTAATGAACACAGAGTAGAAGCACAGAAAGAAGGAAGAGAGTAAAGAGCTTAGACCCAACTTGAACAACTTTACTTCTTTTGTGAACGTTGAGTTAAATTTGGTGTTATTGCTCTCCCTCTCTCATACTGGTCACTGGAAGTTCAACATGGCACCTCATGGCAAAGAACTCTCTGAGGATCTGAAACAAAGAATTGTTGCTCTACATAAAGATGGCCGAGGCTATAAGAAGATTGCCAAAACTGAGCTGCAGCACGGTGGCCAAGACCATACAGCGGTTTAACAGGACAGGTTCCACTCAGAACAGGCCTCGCCACGGTCAACCAAAGAAGTTGAGTGCACGTGCTCCACGTCATGTGCAGAGGTTGCTTTTGGGAAATAGACGTATGAGTGCTGCCAGCATTGCTGCAGAGGTTGAAGGAGTGGGGGGGTCAGCCTGTCAGTGCTCAGACCATACGCCACACTGCATAAAATTGGTCTGCATGGCTCTTGTCCCAGAAGGAAGCCTCTTCTAAAGATGATGCACAAGAAAACTGCTGATACAGTTGAAGACAAGCAAACTAAGGACATGGATTACTGGAACCATGTCCTGTGGTCTGATGAGACCAAGATAAACTTATTTGGTTCAGATGGTGTCAAGCGTGTGTGGCAGCAACCGGATGAGGAGTACAAAGACAAGTGTGTCTTGCCTACAGTCAAGCATGGTGGTGGGAGTGTTATGGTCTGGGGCTGCATGAGTGCTGCCAGCGCTGGGAAGCTACAGTTCATTGAGGGAACCATGAATGCCGACATGTACTGTGGCATACTCAAGCAGAGCATGATCCCCCTCTCCTCGGAGACTGGGCCACAGGGCAGTATTCCAACATGATAACGACCTCAAACACACCTCCAAGACGACCACTGCCTTGCTAAAGAAGCTGAGGGTAAACTTTAATGGCATCCCAGTCTTAGTCCGTAGGGTGCAATATTGAGTTGGTCCACCCTTTGCAGCTATAACAGCTTCAACTCTTCTGGGAAGGCGTCCACAAGGTTTAGGAGTGTGTCTAGGGGAATGTTTCACCATTCTTCCAGGAGCGCATTTGTGAGGTCAGGTACTGATGTTGGACGAGAAGGCCTGGCTTGCATCGGGTTGAGGTCAGGACTTGCTCTGCATTGCACTTGGTGATGTAAGGCTTGGATGCAGCTGCTCAGCCATGGCAACCCATTCCATGAAGCTCTCTACGCACTGTTGTTGTGCCAATCTGAAGGCCACACGAGGTTTGGAGGTCTGTCGCTATTGACTCTGCAGACGGTTGGCGACTTCTGCGCACTGTGCACTTCAGCATGTGCTGACCCCGCTCTGTCATTTTACGTGGCCTACCACTCCGTGGCTGAGTTGCTGTTGTTCCCAGTTGCTTCCACTTTGTTATAATACAACTAACAGTTGACCGCGGAATATTTAGTAGCAAGGACATTTCCAATGATTTGGAGGGGTGTCCCAATACTTTTGGCAATATAGTATATTTTGTATAGGAGACCAGCAACTATTCAACTGCGAGAGGGGCTGGGGGTGTGGGATGCTCTACCAAAAGATTAAATCTGGTTCTTGTGGGCTATTACACATCTTCATTACTCTTTTTACTGTCTTATACATAAATCCATAAATCTTGATTTTGTTGCTGGTAAGGCTCATTTCCCTTTTGCAGGCAGTGGAGGAGGTGAACAGGCATCTGCGAGGTCTGTACCCGGAGAGCGAAGAAATCTTTGATATCGTGCTGATGACCAATAACCACGCCCAGGTTGGCGTACGGCTCATAAACAGCATCAATCACTATGGTAAGTCAAATAAATAACTGGCCAGTTTCAGATTTGCTACCACAATGAAGGGAAGCGTCTGCTTCATCTACTCGGCAGTCCTCTTTAATGTGGATGTGTTTATTTGCTTATGTCAGGGTGCCGGTGACAACACACATTTTTCTACTTTCAACAGGCTCTCATTCCCCAGCACCGCAGACTTAACTTGTCACGTTAGAACCATCACCAAACAAAATGGCTGCCACCTCCTCCCATAGGCCTCCCTTATACAAGCTCTGCTGATACAGTTGTCTTAACAGAAGGATTATGTGCAGATTTCTCAGCCATGAGTAATGATGACATCTCCCCCCTTGCTGCTGGGATGTGTGAGAAGTTGAAAGAGAGAAACACAACAGGCAGCTGGGGTAGGGATGGATCAGTGGGTTTGAGGTCAGCAGATAGAGCTCGGTGAGGAGTTAATCAGGAAGTGGTGGCTTGCCCCAGGGTGGTCTTACTGAAGACTTTCATCATGACACCTATGTCAGGCACTGAACAATAACAAACCCAAGTGTTTCAATTTTAAGTTAAACATACAGTAAGCCCGGCCTTTTTTCTCTGATGAGAGCAGCCTTTGAGTCCTGCTGTTTCAAATCATTTGCCCAAACTGCAGCATATTTTCTTAAAATTGATTCCTCACCTCTTTACAGTACAAATTACCCCATGTCTAAGGCTCCCCCTCTGAAGGTTTTGTTGGAATGCAAACATGAATTCTGCTTTTTATATTTAAATGCATGAATGTATCCATGGTATAAAAGCACCAACATTTGCAGAAGCAATATACAGGGGCCAGTGACATCAGTTGAAACAATAGAACAGCATTTCTCAAACTTTCTACAGTTACTACACCGTTTAAAAGTATGCAAACTCTTCAGTCTTAAATGTAAAAAATGCAAATGTAAAAATGTAAAAAATAACGTGTGGGTTTTTCCCCAAAATCTATACCAGACCCCTAGATAGGGGTCTAGTATGGATTTGGATTATAATACTAAAAAAAAAAAAAAAAAAATCTCCCAAACAACAACGTGGAGTTCTCCACTTCCCATCAGAGTTCCACCATATCAAATTATGAGCACCTTTCCAGTTAGGAGCTCCCTTCCTATCGGAGTCCCACCCTTTACTCTTAACCACAGCATGGCTGCAGCAGCATGACAGAGGGTGGGAGGTGGAGCAGGTCTGCATGGAGATGGGTGTCTGTCCTTTTTTATAGGTCTGGGGAGGTCCTGGATACAAAATGAATGCAAAAGTTTAAAAAATGATGTATGGTTTCCCCTAAAATCTATACCAGACCCTTATCCTAGATAGGGGTCTGGTGTGGATTTGGATTTTAATCTAAAAAAAACAACATGAAGTTATCCTCTTCCCAGTTCCCATCAGAGTCCCACAATTTCAAATTATGAGCCCCTTTCCCACTAGGAGCTCCCTTCCCATCATGCAGCATAGCAGAGGGTGGGAGGTGGAGCAGATCTCGATGGAGATGGATGTCTGTCCTTTTCTGTATGCCTGGGGAGATCCTGGATGCAAAATGCATGTAAAAAATTACATGTGGTTCTCCCAGTGCTTTTCCTAGATAGGGGTCTGGCATGGATTTGGATTTTCATCCCCCAAAAAAGCTGGGTGGTGCAAACAAGGTCCATAAATGGAATTTCAGCAGGGAACGGCCAAAATTCGACCCCTGTATGGCCAGATTTTCTATGGGGATCAGTTTAGAAGGGAGATCAATCCTTTACTTTAGAACTTCTGCCAGGATTCGTTTGTGCACAAGTTCACCAAACAATCCCGTATTTTTCAGACCTGAACATTGAACGTTTCTGCATGACCGGTGGGAAGAGCCCTATTGGCTACCTGAAAGCTTACCTCACTAACCTGTACCTGTCTTCAGACTCGGAGAAAGTACAAGAGGCCATTGAAGCAGGTAAGGTCCACTCACTCTCCTGTTTGTCAACTTTACATTTTTAAACTGGAAAGCTAAGTGCTGGTGTCTGGAAAAAGCAATGTGTGTCGGTGAATGCACTCTTTCTCCTCGCAGCTCCATGGCCTGATCGTTCACTGTGAAGTCATGTTCTACACAGTCAAATATGGAGCTTCTTGTATGGGCTGCTGTCTGGCCACATGCTTTCCTTCTCTGGCTCCTTTCACAAGACGTCTATTCATTCCATCCATAAGTACGCTACCTGTGATTCATATTTCATCTCTGCATCTCATTTCCATATGCCTAGTAGGGGCACCTGCTTCCTTCTACATATGTGCAAATGGAAACTGTGCATTTAAAGTGGAACTCCAGGCAGACCCCTAAATACATTGTTGAAATACATGTACGTTCCCTGTTTTATCCGTCAAAGTCTTTGTAATTGAAGTCAGTTGTTTTTGTGATACGAACCTCTGCTAATAAGTAGGGTTGCTCTTCTATATCCTGCTCTAGCATCTCGGCTTTTTGGGTCAACTCACCGGCCACAGGGGATGATGCTGACCCACTGTCCAATGAGGAGGCTGGAGATGGGAAGTGGATGTGGGAAGCTATATTGCTGAACTAAGAAGAATTGCTTAAAGCATAACTAAACTCAAGAACAAAAATTGATTATATTGCAGCTTACCAGTCCTTAGATGTGATGGTTTAAACTGACAGTAAACTCAGGAGTTAAACCTTAAATATACATTTAGGTACCCTAACTATTAACAGAAATGTATCTTATTTGTGTATCACTCGTCTGTAGATCCTCAAATCATCTCTGCATTGGTGCTGACACTGTCCTTCCTTCTGGAGGGTGGCTACTTTTGTTCCCCATGGTCCCTGTGTGTGGTGTAAAGTAGTCAATGCTCCAAGCTCGCTCCTGTGATGGACTACAATCTCATGTTTAGTTTAATAATTTGCAATAAGATTGTAGTCCATCAGGGGAGTGATCTTGGAACGGTGACTACTGCACAACACACACAGGGACCATGGGGAAAAAAAGTAGTCACCCTCCAGAAGGAAGGACAGTGTCGGCACCAATTCAGAGATGATTTGAGGATCTACAGCCGAGTGATACACAAATAAGATACATTTTTGTTAATAGTTAAGGTACTTGAATGAACGACTCAAATCATCTCTGAATTAGTGCTGACACTGTCCTTCCTTCTGGAGGGTGACTACTTTTGTTCCCCATGGTTTTGTGTGTGTTGTAAAGTAGCCACCGCTGCAAGCTCCCTCCTGTGATGGACTACAGTCTAATTTTTACTAGTTTAGTCATTTGTATTAAGACTGTAGTCCACCATGGGAGCCAGCATGGAGCGGTGACTACTTTACAACACACACAGGGATCATGGTGAACAAAAGTAGCCACCCTCCAGAAGGAAGGACAGCGTCAGCACCAATTCAGAGATGATTGGAGGAGTGATACCCAAATAAGATACATTTTTTGTTAATAATTAAGGTACTTGAATGTATTTTTAAGATTTAACTCATGACTTTTACTGTCACTTTAAATCTAGAAAGGTTTTAATTACATCTAAAGTAGAAGTGTAAGGCCTGGTTCACACCTGGGCGTTTTGTAGCGCGTTCGTACGCTCTGCAAAATGCTCAAACACCAAAATCCCATTGCTTCCTATGGGTATGGTTCACACCTGGGCGTATTTCAGGCCGTATGAACGCGCTACAAAACGGCCAACGCCCAAAGAAGTACAGGAGCTTCTTTGGGGCGTTTTTGTCGCGCGTTTCCATGCATATTCGATACACCTAGGTGTGAACCCAGCCTAAGTGTTTTGAATGTTACACTCCCAAAAAAGTAGCTCTGGCTACTGCTACAGTTCAAAAGCTTTTTATGGCTGACAAATAAATGCGCTACTTTTACCTTTTTATTATGGTGTGCTGGTAATGATTTATGGGGAAACTTTGCTAAAGTAAAAAGGATGTTCACTTTGCAAGGGAATATGCACTTTGCAGCAGAAGTTTCCCCTTAGCTTAGTGAATGAGGTGAAGCTCTGCAGACTTCCATCATCCAATCGTGCCTTTTATTTTTTTCCTTGCACGGAATTGGGTATTCTTTAAAATTGTAGCACATTCACCAAGCTAAGGGAAACATTCCCTGCAAAGTAAACAGCCTATTTTTTTTAAGTGAGTCAACCCTATAATCTTTCATATGTAGGGTAAACCCACTAGTAAATGAAGGAGACTTTTATGAATCGCCTGTTGAACAGACCATCGATTTGAGGAACTGGTGGCTGGACAGGTAAGTATAAAAGTTCTTCATTTCCAGGGTTTTTTTTTTAAAACAGTGACAGAATTTTGGATAATTTGTGAGTTTCTGTGATGAAAAGGTTGAAATTCCCTTTAAACAAAGGGCCCTAATGACTTCCAGCTAAACAGCTAATGTCTGTTCCCCTTCCTCAGCTGTGTATGTTTTTTCATATGTTTCATAAACTGTTGGTCGGACTAGTGTGCACTTCTCTCAATATAGAGTGTGGGAGCCTGGCAGATCAGCTTGGAGTCTTTCCAGCGTCTGTCAATCACATGTTTAAATTGCACAGTCTGCGTTACCAGTGTATATTGTTCTGTACATAGTTTGTTGTCCTATGTCTGGCTTTGCTCTTGTAATACAAACGACTTTCATAGACAACACATCAGAATGCTATTACATAGTTACATAGTATTTGAGGTTGAATAAAGACATTAGTCCATCAAGTCCAACCTATTAGGATCTCATTCTAGGAGTACCTGTACCCCTGTATATTACCTGTACCCCTGTATATTACGGTCCCTTAAGAAATCGTCCAAAAGTTTCTTGAACAATTCCACATTATTTGCTGAAATCACCGCCTGTGGCAGTGAGTTCCAGACCCTAACTGATCTTACTGTGAAGAACCCCCATTCTACTACTTAAAGGAGAATTCCAGGCTGTATAAAAACTGCCAGTAGGTCTCTTTATAAAGGGATGGATGCAGTTATTTTCCCCTTAAGTCAATCAATGAACGTTTATGAGCAAGGCTGTCATGTTATATATGAACTTCTGCTATCAGATGTGCTTCAACAACTACTTGCATTTAACAAAATTTGGGCAAATCCTGTGGATATTTGTCATTTAGAAATAATCAGGAATGGCAATGGTCAGAGCATCCAATGCACATTCTATGTACCCAACAGTCAGAGGCGTATAACAAAAATATGGTGGCATGCTGGCAATGGTGCAGCCGATCTAGCCCAATGTTGCCCATGTTTTATAAATAGCCCCTGTAATGTTTGATTGGATGTCTTTGCTGTTTCTTTGGTAGAGTACAAGTTTTAGCAGTTAAAGGTCAGTTCCTATCAGTTAAGGGCTAGGTTTGTAACCAGGCTGGTTTGTAGATAGCAGGAGGTCTCGCTGCTGGTTGGAAATGCATTGCATGGAGTGGGTAGTTTGAAGTCTGGAACTCACATAAGCAACTTCTTGTCTTTGACGTTCTTCAACTACTTGCACTGAACACTCTAAACTGGGAAAATCGTGTGGATATCTGTCATTTAGAAATAATCAGGAATGACCTTGAGCAGAGGATCCAATGCACATTCTCTGTACCCAATAGTCACAGACTTTTGAAAATATGGTAGTGTGCTGGGAATGTTGCAGCGGATCTAGTCGAATGTTGCCTGGGTTTGGCCATGTGTTATAAATAGCCCCTGTGAAGATGTTTAATTAGATTAGATGCCGTTATTGTTTCTTTTGTAGACTGACGTTTTAGCAGTTAAAGGTCAGTTCCTATCAGCTAAGGGCTAAGTTTGTAACCAGGCTGGTTTGTAGATAGCAGGAGGTCTCGCTGCTGGTTGGAAATGCATTGCATGGAGTGGGTAGTTTGAAGTCTGGAACTCACATAAGCAACTTCTTGTCTTTGACGTTCTTCAACTACTTGCACTGAACACTCTAAACTGGGAAAATCGTGTGGATATCTGTCATTTAGAAATAATCAGGAATGACCTTGAGCAGAGGATCCAATGCACATTCTCTGTACCCAATAGTCACAGACTTTTGAAAATATGGTAGTGTGCTGGCAATGGTGCAGCGGATCTAGTCGAACATTGCCTGGGTTTGGCCATGTGTTATAAATAGCCCCTGTAATGTTTGATTGGATGTCTTTGCTGTTTCTTTGGTAGAGTACAAGTTTTAACAGTTAAAGGTCAGTTCCTATCAGCTGAGGGCTAAGTTTGTAATCAGGCTGGTTTGTGGATAGCAGCAGGTCTCGCTGCTGGTTGGAAATGCATTGCATGGAGTGAGTATTTTGAAGTCTGGAACTCACATAGGCAACTCCTTGTCATTTGACATTCTTCAACTACTTGCACTGAACCCTATAAACTGGGCAAGTCGTGTGGATATCTGTCATTTAGAAATAATCAGGAATGGCCTTGAGCAGAGGGTCCAATGCACATTCTCTGTACCCAATAGTCACAGCTTTTGAAAATATAGTAGTGTGCTGGCAATGTTGTAGCGGATCTAGTCGAATGTTGCCTGGGTTTGGCCATGTGTTATAAATAGCCCCTGTGAAGATGTTTAATTAGATGCCCTTATTGTTTCTTTTGTAGACTGCGAAGTTCAGCAGTTGAAGGTCAGTTCCTATCAGCTAAGTTTGCAATCAGGCTGGTTTGTAGATAGCAGGAGGCCTATGCTGCTGGTTGGAAATGCATTGCATGGAGTGGGTAGTTTGTATTCTGGAACTCACATAGGCAAGTCCTTGTCAGAGAAAGCCTACAGGAAAACATATAACCTGGTCACCGGGCTAATACTGGCTATGATATCAGTTTCTTATATCAGCTATGGACCTTCACCTGTTTCCTGCTGTACAATGTATGGTAACCAGGTTTGGCCTGTCTGACTGCTGTACCTCATTGTATCGGTGTGCCAGAGTAAGCTTGGCAGTCAGCCTTATACTAACAAAATAACAAAAGACTGGCTGCAGGAAAGCCTTTAACTCTAGGGCATCCGTTCAAGTAACTGCCTGGATTGCAGTAAATAAAAGGGCCCTGCCAGGTCCTTTGGGCTCCTCTCCCAGCAGAAGTCTTTTGCTATTCTCTTCAGTGCCCTATAGACCTTCCACATTGAAAACAAGTGAATGTATTTCCATACTAGAAAAACAACTGGAGATAAATCTGTGTATGCTTTGTAGCACCAGCACTAAGGAAATATGTATGGTTAACACCTTCTTTCCTCTTTTCATTGAGAGAATTGAAAGAATGGCTTCCTCCAACAAATTATGAAAACCTCTGTGTGCAACATCACAAGGATGGCTCAATAGGGGATTCCTTAATGACCTAGTCCTTGCCCAGATAGCTCGCTGTGCCACCCAGAGGGGTATTGGGTCCCAGAAATGTTCATTCTCAAGGTTGGAGCCATAATAAAAGTCTATAGATCACCTAATAAAAGTTCTTTTGGGGGGCTTCTTTTTGGATTGCCATAACAGCAGCATCTGGAGACTTATAATATCTCATCTGAAGATCTCATGATGCAGTTGAATATATCATGATGAATTTCTCAGGCTGCAAAAATATGCAGCCTTTATCTATGGCAGGACACACCCAGGTATTTATAGCCATGATAAATACACAGACACTCCTAAACATTGATGAGACCGAACACACCTGTGAGCATAGTGTATCATCTTCCAATTATTCCAGGTCTATCCCTACATCATAAATAGAAAAAAAACATCTAACTACTATGACTTGTTACTCAATGCATGCAATAAATTTGCATATGTCAAAAATCTTGCGTCAGTGTCATGTTCTCTTTGCTGTGTATACAATCAGTGCAGGAGAATCAGGTTATAGCACAGAATTAAAGGCATTTTCCACTTTAAAAAAAAAGGAAAAACTGGGCAAGTACATATTGGGGTCCTCAAAGTTGCCGCCCTCCCACCTCTACCTTTTGGCCTTGGTTGTATGTTGCAGATGCGGTCCGCTATCAGACAAGACATTTAGCCATGTGCTAATTTACAGGGCACAACACTTTTTGTATTAGGTTCTTGTTCATCCTGATGGGTCTTTCTTTTGGGAACTAATCAACAAGTTCTAAAGGATGTTTTTCTGTTTTTGCAGGTATTGCAGCTGCCACCATGTTTACACCAAAGCGAGACATTGAGCTGCCGGAGAAGGAGCTGCGGGTGGCATTTGACGGGGACGCGGTCCTGTTCTCCGATGAATCTGAGCAGATAGTAAAAGAAAGGGGGTTGGATTCATTTTTTGAACATGAGAAAAAATATGAGGACAAGCCATTGGCCCAGGTATGAAAATAAAATATTAGGTATTTTGGTGATATACTTACATTTCAGATAAACCAGCTTTTCCCAGCTGAGAGATCCAATTATTGGAGTTTTCCATGATAATAGTTAAATTGCTCCATGGCCTTGACTTTGTGTAGTGGGAGCCGGGTGCCGGTAGGTCTTCATGCAGAGTTTTTGAAGCAATTGAAAAATAAACGGTTTGCTCAAATATTCTGACCTTAACACTAAACCCTCCATACAACTGAATTCCATAACTAGGGCAATCCCCAAGGCCGGATTTCCCACAAGGCCAACCAAGGCCTGGCCTTGGGGCAGCAGGGAGTAGAGGGGCAGCAGGGGTGTGGAATTCCTATCTCCCAATGCCAGGGACATGCAGTTCCGGGCGCCGGGCGGGTAGTTGTTTTCTACATTTAGCCCTGCTTTGGGCAAGCAGAGCTAAATGTACAGCAGGGAAGCCGCCGCTTGTTTTGTACAAGTGATCCTGGCGATTTCGTCGAGATCACTTGTATGCAGCCTGCAGTATGCAGCCTGTAAATAAAATGGAAATAATGTAATGTTCCTTGGGTGGCCCGGTACCATTTGACCCACGGACCGGTACCGGTCCGCGGCCCGGTGGTTGGGGACCACTGCACTAGACCACTGAAGGTATACTGTTGTGTCTGGCACCAAGCCGTCAGTAGTAGATCCTTTATGTCCTGTAAGTTGCAAGGTGGGGCCTCCTTCGCTCCCCATGTTGCATCCATGAGCCTTGCCTGCCCATGACCATGTCCGTGATTCAACGGACCTTCCTTCCTTCCTTGGACCACTTATGGTAGGTCCTGACCACTGCACACCGGGAACATGCATTTAGTGCAACAATATGGTGTGAACAGGCCCTTAAAACGATACTTCTGGAAGTGTCGATAGGGCGAGGACATTATTTACTATCGTCTTTTGTAGGGGCAGCTTTTTAAGCAATTTGATTTTAGCGACAGAGTCATTGTCCCAGAGGCATTTTGCTGTTTTGTGTCTGCAACCAAATGATACTGTCTGCATTCCTATCTTTGTTGTGACAACATTTTGCTCTCAGTTCCTATAGTTATGCCTAATGTAACCAATATCACAGAATGATTTTAAGATTTGTTATTCTGTCATAAACACAACACACAGCAGCAGAGTTGTTATGTGATTTCACATCCAAGTTTTGCCAAATCTGTTCCCAGTGCTAGACTGAGTTACATAACGCTGAGCACTGTTAGTAAATATTATAGTTGCTTACTCAAGCTTATTTAATAATGCCCTTCAAAGAGCAGTGGTGAGGTGAAGTGACCCATAGTAGATGCTCAGATTGCAGTAAATCCATCCAGATGATGACTAATTGGTTGCTGGATGGTGGGCTAATGCATTGTGCACACTCTTGCGTCATTGAAAAAAGCTAGTTAAAGGGCCACATTCATTAAAGCGTCTGAATTGACAACTGTCTGCATTGCCCCTTGCATGGAAAATAAAAGGTTAATCAGGTTAATGTCCCTGTAGATCTTTTACATTCTAAGAGACTTATGGCTCCTGTGGACTGCACCTCTTCACATACAGGTTTCTTCAGTAAAGTAATGCAGTAATGTGCAAAGTGAGCTAAACCATAGCAATCAAGCATGTCTCAGTTTCCTGTCAGATCAGCAAAAGGAAATTCCTGGTTTGGACCCACTAAACACTACACAATGGATCTAAATTTTGTAAGATTTTGTTTTTTGCTCAGAGATTTGCCAGTACACTAAGGGCCAATTCACTCCATATGGTTTGGGCTGCATTGCTCAACGCAGATCCACAGCAATAACAAGCCAAAATCCATCACTGATGGATTTGTCAATTACGTCCCTCTGTTAAAAAACCCCCAGTGAACACACGGACTGTGCGACATGGATTTAAATGGCCACAGTAACCCTTTATTAAACATAACAAAATTGAACAGTTTTGGAACAACACACAGAAAAGTGGGTTTTTTTTGAGAGGTATAACACCAACACTTGATTTCTTTGATATAAAAAAATATTTATTTGACATATAATAAAACACATGTGTACATTTCATGAAATAGAATCTTAGTTCAATATCATCTTAAGTACATTAAAACCATTGCATCCTAGTTCCAATTCATTTTGTTCATGCGCATTAATTTGGGAGATCCATGTATCCAATCCCTACATGTTTCACATATTGCTTCCTCAGGGGAGCATGGATCTGTCTAATAAGAGATTTTGAATTAGTTTATCTAGATCACGCAATATATAAAAATCCATTCTGAAGTCTAGACTTCAGAATGGATTTTTATATATTGCGTGATCTAGATAAACTAATTGGTTTCCATGCTCCCCTGAGGAAGCAATATGCGAAACGCGTAGGGATTGGATACATGGATCTCCCAAATGAATGCGCATGAACAAAATGAATTGGAACTAGGATGCAATGGGTTTAATGTACTTAAGATGATATTGAACTAAGATTCTATTTCATGAAATGTACACATGTGTTTTATTATATGGCAAATAAATATTTTTTTATATCAAAGAAATCAAGTGTTGGTGTTATACCTCTCAAAAAAAACCCACTTTTCTGTGTTTTGTTCCAAATGGTTATTACCTAAAGGGGGAGAGGTTACACCCAGTGACCACTGAGGTAGCAACTCACCATTGTATTTCTAAAATTGAACAGTTACTAAACATAATAACCAAAATAACATACAAATAAATAATCTGAATGGCTGTTGGATCCGAGAAGGGGTCTTTGGGTGCCCATCAGCCAAAATAGGGCCTCTACTAAAACCACTCCCATGTCCCCAGCCGCACCCCCACCAGCTCAAAGACAGATACTGTTTCCAAAATTCTAAGGGACCAAGCCCCCAACAACTACCGACACCAACAGGGGGAGGGAGCACCATATCAGCTGATGGCCCCCCATTTTGTAACCAACTCACATTTCTAGACCCCAAAGACCCTTTAATCCACCAAGCTGCTGTGACAACCAACCATTCCAACTGCCACCAACTGCAAAGAATTAGGGGAGAGTGGGCGGGACAACATGCTTCCCCCGTCGATGTTCTGCATAAGCCCCACATAAGCCCTTGTGGTCCCATCCCATGCGGCTCCTCCCCAACACACGTCTCCAACCTCCAATTAGGTAAGATCAACTGATTTCCATTATATTTAACCTCTTCTCCAGGGACTATTTTTACCCCCAGTCATGCAGCCCCTTCGATCATTATCTCCGGGTCTGTCTTTGTTTGCAATAGACTCAGTTTGCTGCATTGTGTATGCACTGGGTGAAAAAGGACATCTGACATTTAAATGCAGCGCCATGTGTTACAGCGTACTACAATCCATATGCCCTTATCCATAAAAAGAATGGTTGGGTGCATCAGCAGTCAAAAAAGTATGAACACCGACACTCCAAAGGTAGATGTACGTCTATTTATTGGCGCACGTGCAAAACATGCTCATTGCAACATTTCGGGGTCACGCAGGATCACTTCATCAGGCAGAACAAGTGAAATTGCGAATAAAACAGTGCAGATATAAATACACACCTCTACATGTGAGCAAACCAATCATAGAGTCTGCTGAGTCCCCGTGATGTCATGATGACGTAAATTCCCCACCAAAATCCAAACCATGCAATGACAGATGTATACAAAAACAATGCAATCATAGTGATATAGCTATAGCCTCCTCTTCCGTCCCCGGGCCCCGCCTCCACTTCTATCGATGGGCCCGGCCTGCTCTTAGGTCGCTGGCCTGTGATGTAAGAGGAGGCGGGGTTGCTGTTAGGCGGGCCCTGCCTCCTCCTTCACTGCGAACGCCGGCCTCTTCTGCCGCAGCTGCTGGCTGTAACTTACAAAGCTCCTCAACGGCTGTGAGGGGAAACACGCGGCTGCCGCTGCACACATCACTGACAGGTTGTCAGTGATCTTCACAGCCGCTGCTGAGCTGTGTTAGTGACAGCCAACACCCTTACATGCCATAGCGAGCCAGGTTGCTATGGCGATTGTTACGCCACTGATACCAATGCAATTAAAAAATGGAGGGCAACACACGTCAACTCAAGTGCATTTAGCGTATGTCAATCCAATAGAAATGGTGTGGAATGCAGCTCAAATGAGTCCAGTTGAAAGTTACTAACTACTACTAGCAATACGATGACCTGGATAAATGAGAACCTTCACAGACACACTGGGGTTATGTTTTTTGACTGTTTTAGTACAAAAAATTAAGCTTAGCTTAGTTATTTTCACCAGAAAAAGGAATGAACTTAATTTACTATAGAAAGGTCATGTGTTTCTATCTTATGTATTTTATCATATCATATTTTTGTATTTTTACAGGGTCCGCTGAAATGCTTCCTGGAGGCACTAGGAAGGCTCCAAAGGAAGTTTTATGCTAAAGATGAAAGACTTACCTGCCCTATAAGGACCTACCTTGTGACAGCCAGGAGTGCCGCCAGCTCTGGGGCCCGAGTCTTGAAGACCTTACGCTCCTGGGGCTTGGAGATAGATGAAGCACTTTTCCTAGCAGGGGCCCCGAAGGGACCCATCTTGGACAAAATACGACCTCATCTTTTCTTTGATGACCAAATGTTTCACATAGAAGGTGCTCATGAGTTAGGTACTATTGCGGCCCATGTACCTTACGGGATTGGCCAGAAGTACCATAAATCAACCCCAAAGGAGGAACCTAAAAAGGAGGAGGCTAAAAAGGAGGAGGCTAAAAAGGAGGAGGCTAAAAAGGAAGAGGCTAAAAAGGAGGAGCCTAAAAAGGAAGCTGGGAAGAAATAGAAATAATGGTTTTTGTATTGTTAAGCAGATTTAGATCTTGATGATATTTTGTCTATTACAAATATTTTAATACACATTCCTTAAATTCCCAAATGCCTAACATTATGGTATAGCCTTAGGAAACCATGCTTGCCCCCTGTATATATTGGCTAATTTCAAGAAATTCACAAGGAAGGAGCAAAACTTTTCACTTAGATACAGAGGGTGGCGGTTCAGTGATTTTCAGCCATCATTGCACTAACCTCTACATGAGAGCTGAAGGTTGTTTGCGATTTGACATCTGCCCTACTGTGATGGACTTGTTGTTAGGGTAGATGCTGCCATAGACACTTACAGAACTGTATAGGTATCTGTTGCAGCACCTGCAATAACAATCCATGTCAGCATGACTGATTTCATATAAGGCCTTAGCCTTCACCCAGCCCTTAGCTCTCCTGTGGAAGTTAATGAGCTGAGACCTGTAAATCCCTGAATTTTATGACTTTATGAATAAGAGGAAAAAGTTGGACAATTTCACAGAGAACTTATTTCATACAATGGAGAGCAGCGGTGTGCAATAAACCCCTAAAAGATCACCTACTTGAATTGACCCCTAGTTTTTTTGTTTGCAAATAGATGTATTAAAGGAGAACTATGGGGTCAGTGTTTTTCCCCATAGTTCTCCTTAGGGTAACGGGAGGACACAAACTAGCGTCCTCCAGTTACCCTAAGCTCAGTATACCGCGAGCTACAGCTCGCGGTATACTGAGACGCCGCAGCCGGAGCGGATCACGACATCGATGTCGATATCCGCCCAGCTGCGTGAGTGACAGCTGGCTCTGCCTATCTAGAGGCAGCGCCAGCTGTACCCGCCCCCTCCCCCGTCCGTTCCGCCAGTCAGCGCTGGCGGATCGGAGCGGGGAGGGAGGAATCCAGCCCCTCCCCTGTCACGGCAGAGAGCCGTGACAGGATCGAGAGGTGAGCGAACGCCGGTATCTGTTCGCTCTCCTCCCGATCTACTGAGCCGACCTGTGACAGTCTCATTGTCACAGGTCGGCTAGAACTATGAGGTGAGTGGAAATCACTCATTTCATAGTTCTCCTTTAACATATATGCTCGTGTTAGGCAAGCATCCTGCCTACGTCACAGGCAAGCATTGTCTACGTCATAAGCTAATTTTAGGCAAGCATCCTGCCTATGTCGTAAGCATTGTACAGAATACCATAATATTGGATCGACCACTCCCCAACCAAAAAAAGAAGTCATATGGTCATCATAGTCATAGAGATTAATACCAAAACGGCTTAAATTTGGTGAGATTGTGCAAAGATTAGTGTCAGGACCATGTAGATAGACATCTTGAGGTTTTGTCTATCTGGTTCACACCTAGGTGATTCATCGCGTGGATTGAGCAGCGCGATATCGCGCAAAACACTGATTTACATTAAAGTCAATGGAGGCTGTTCACACCTTTGTGTTTTGTCGCGCAGACAAAATCGACTGTCACGAAAAAGGTGCAGGAGCTATTTTCGGTCGGTTATTGTGCGTTTTTGTTCCCATAGACATCTCTATGCATTAAAAACCGTGCGGTTATCACACGTTTTTTCAAAGCAAAATCATGCCAAAAATAACGTGCAACAAACATATGAAAACAGCTCAATCGCCAAGGTGTGCACCAGGCCTAATATGCACTGTGCAGCTGTACTTTCATACATGAAGTGCTGCTGACTCATGTTTATGTGCTCGGAGAGAGAAGGATGGAGGACATTAGTTGCTTGGACAGATGCTGCTGGTGCTGATTATCTCAGGAAGGTAAAAATAGCCTGATAGATTGTAACCCTGCATCATCTTGGAAGACCCATAGCCATGAGAACATCACCCAATCCAGTGACTGTCATCGTATGTCTATGGGTAGCTTAAGAGGATAACGGTACAAATACATGAAACAAGAAATTTAGCATCAGGTAGTCCTACCCGGATTTGCTCACTGTAAATAATTACTTTGTGCATGAATCCTATTGTTATTTGTGTGGTTATCCTTTAAATTGGAAGATTGTTGTTTGAGCTTGTGGCTAATTTGCCTTGCTGCTAATACTGAGCATGGTCAGGATTTGGATCTTTAATTGCTTCTCATAATACATATTCATGGTCTAAAAACGGTTTAATAATTGGATACTTGGGTTCCCAGCATTCCATTGCTCTTGCATTGTCATTTATTAAATAGCTGCAATCATTGGCGGGGGAGGGGGGGGTTGGCAG